GGGGGGGCGACAGTGCCCTGATGCCAAGCCACCGTCATGGTGCCACTCATACGATCTCGGCCACTGACCAGTGGCTTTGACCAGCGTGACCGGGGGATTGGACAGAGGTTTTAGCCACGGCTTGGCCAGGATTTTACCAGAGTTAGGCCAGGGTTAGGCGAGCCTTCAGCAGGGCCCCGGGGTGTGTGTGAGTGTGAGTGTGCGTGCACGCTCCACGCTGGCGGACGTGACTGCCGCGAGTCTCCATTGAGGAGCGGCACAAAGGCATGGAATGCGCTCGCAGCAGAGGCCTTGATGTCAGGCTTTTTGAAGCACGTTCCGTTTTTCACATCCGGCCTTGACAATGCGAATGCTATTATTAAATTATATTGATGTCACAGACATTCGATGGCAAAAGCCACTCTAGGTACACCCCCCCCCTCCCCGCTTATCGGCCACGGCTCTTATTATTTTTGGAGAGAAAAAAAAATCAATGGAAGAGCAAATACCACATTCAAATATCCATACACAGATATAATTAAAAATTAAAAATTGATGCAAAGCTCTTTTTGCTATCTTGCGGGTGTTAAAGACCTTCGTTCGGGGAGGCAAACACTCCGCTGTAATGTTGACAATGCGTTCCCGAGAGTGTAAAGAGTGGGAGGCCGAGGGTTTGTATGCATGTGCCTACTGAAAAATTAAAGGTTTTTTTTATCAGAAACCAACCGCTGTGATATTGCTGCATAGGCAGAATCGCAAAAACAAATTGTCCAAACCATTATTTATTTTAATGCCAAAGCAATAAAACGGAATTCTGTTGTGCTCGGCGAATGCCTAATTTAATCATTCAGGGCGTGAGATATTTAAATTTTAGCGCGCCAGGTTGGAAAACGCTCGTTCCAAGATAGTCCTACATTGGATAAACAATTTGGGGGCTAAAAATTGGATTACGAAATGACAAAGCCTCTGCAAATAATGTGCTTTCACACGGAGCACATTAGGCTTGCAAAGACGCCCACAGCAAAGCGGAACATTAAAATAAAATCAAACTGATTCCTATTAAAAAAAACTCATTTTTATGGTCCTGGAGCATATGAGATGATAGATTTGTGAAAGACAAGAATGTACTTTGACGGTCTAAATGTTCGCTCATAGCACTCGTCGGTTGATGTCTTTGCTGAAAGCCCTCCGGTTAACAGAGGTCACTTGTATTTGTAATTATTTACGTCACAAGTTTCGTAAATGTATGCAATGATGACGATGACATCACGGAAAGCATAGCGAGGAGGCACATACAATATCCTTAAGACGTCTAAGCATTCCGCGTACGCGAATGACGTCAACTGTTCTTTTGCTTTTCCAATAAAAATTAATTGCCGAGGCCGAAGGATCTCGTTTGGGTGTGTGCCTTGCTCTGGGTTATTCGGCCATTTCATTTAAAGGCCACAATTGTGCAAGAGGCCAAAGTGGTGGCAAAAAATCCGTCACGCGTTTGACAAAACTGACACAGTGCAACTGCCCTGAACTCTACTCGGATCTTGCAAGTTGATGGATTACAGTCATTCATTGATGGATTCATTGGTGGATTCATTGATAGATTACAGTCATTCATTGGCACCATACCCAACTAAAATGAAGTTAAACTGTCGACTGTGGTGATCACTCCGGCAGTTAATTACTTTTTAAAATAGTTTTTGTTGTCATATTGTTTGTTACAACATGCTGACCCGCCTCTCCTGGACATCCAGCAGTGGATTGACAATGGTGCTGCTGCTCCTGTTGCTGCTGTATGTGTGCTGTGCTGGCTGTCCTTGCTGACCGCTGTGCCCCTACTGGATGTCTGTGGAAAAAAAAGAGCTTTAAAGCTCATCGGATTCCTCCTCCAGCGTGAATGAAGATTCTCATTGTCAAGAGGGTGAGAAAAGTGCGGATTCCAATTCCGGCAGGGCTTTGGTGTGCTCCTTTTGAGAGGTCCGGGGGAGGCTTGAAATCGCGGCACAACGCGAACGGAACAGTTGGTGCTGGAACTCCCAGGTCTAAGAAACTGTCGGGTGTTAGAACACGAACCGCCAGCCCATTGAGACGCCCCCACCAGCCCATTGAGACCCCCCCCCCACCCACCAGCCCATTGAGACCCCCCCTACCAGCCCATTGAGACCCCCCCCACCAGCCTATTGAGACCCCCCCCACCAGCCCATTGAGAACCCCCCACCAGCCCATTGAGAACCCCCCACCAGCCCATTGAGACCCCCCCCCCCCACCAGCCCAACTCCCCATGTGGAGAGAGTGGAGAAGCTTCCATATTTGGTCTGCGTGTTCATGGCCAGCTCTTGTTTGGCAGCCGAGGTCTCAAGCCGAATCAGTCAAGTGGTGTTGTCGTTTCATCAGCTGCGTAACGCTGTGTAGAAGCTCCCTGCCATGTCACTCCATACAAAACCCCGGGTCGTCTCGGCCACGGTTATGCCCTCCCTTCTCTGTGCGTGTAAAATGTGGAGCTCTCTAAAGGAACACCAGCGCTGGTTTCCAACATTCAGGCCAGCCTGCCTATGATCTATCCAAGGTTTAACCAGGCTGGATTGCGTGCGGAGTTCACAGATCCTTGAAATATCTGGACACAGTCCAATCAGTGAACTCCTCTGGCAAGCAAAGCTGCACTGGCTGGGTCATGTAGCTGGGTCATGTAGCCTCCATGTCCAGCCACAGCATGCCCAAGCAGCTTCTGTTCGGCCAGATAGATGGGGCAAAATGGCATGGCACGGGCTACAGAAGAAATGGAGCTGATGTGGTACGGGAGGATGTGGAGTTGATTGGACTTGCTGATCGCTGGTAACAGCAGTGACAAGATTGGCCTCTGTAGAAGAGGTTCGTGAAAGACGCTGCTCACTCCAGCAACAAGGGAAGAGCAGAGGAGCAATGCTCACAAGAACGAACGGAGCGCCGGGTGGATAAAACGCAACAAGTTGGCACAGGGGGCACAGCTGGGTGCATCTGCCAGTCAGTCAACCCATGGTACCTGGGTCTGTTCCGTGACCTCCTGCCACGCGGCCTCAAAGTGCACCTGGCCTGGCACAATCGCCGTGGGGACGCCACTACAACTTAGTGGTGAACGTCGGTTGTTGTTGTTGGTGCAGCAGTTAATGTGCTGTGCTACAAAACCGGTGACCCGAGTTTGATTTCCGCATCACGGCAAAGACCAGCAACGATTATCTGAACAAGTCCTGGACCTCGCCTAGGTCGACTCACCCTCACAAAGCAGTACCTGGAGTGGCGTGTGTAAACATCGCCACAAGGGAGACAACGGCGGCCCTCGTGTAACGTGTCGACCTTCATAGGTGCTCGCGAACGCCACCTGCCGCAAATGACTGTTGTGGCTATAGGGGGGGATCTTTGTTTTTGTGTATATGGTGGGTGGACAGAGTTCAATTCCCCTCTCGCAGCCAACATCCGAACGGGTTCTGGACCTCTCCTCGGTCAACTCAGCCCTTAAATGGGTCCCGGGTGCGGTGCGTAAACGTCAGCACTGAGTGAGCGGCTGGGTTGCGGCAGCATGAACACCTCGAGCTCGCGCAGTGCGGGGATCGTGCCGAGGTAACCTCTGGCCGGACTCCCAGATTGTACGTGAACTGAGGTTCCCGTAGGAAGCGGCACAGCGATGTGCGTGCGTACGTTGAACTTTCGCACCGACCGTAGCCAAACGTGCTAATCGGGGGCACGTGGGGGGTGGGGGGTGGGGGGAAGGGGCGACAACAAACTACACACAAAAAGAAAGTCGGTTGCTAAAACTACCTCTGAACTGCCTGTGCCAAGCATGCCTCGTGAAAGTCTCGAAAGCGGAAAGCGGCATTTTAGACTCTGCGAACGAATACCAGTTCTTATGGAATGCACGCTACAGTTATAGGTTCAGCTTGCAACGCGCCACACGGTATTTTCACTCTCCCTCGCCGAGAGAGAGAGCACGACCCACGATAGGCGAGGAGGAACCACAGACAAGCGGGAAGGCAGCAGCCACCCAGCGAACCGGCGCCAACAGTTCTCCAAGCTCTGCCGTCCCCTAGATATGAAGATATTTTCAGCCAATTAACGAGTAGTTACACGTGGGAAGAAACTGCAGCACTCAGAGAAAACCCACGCGTGCGAGGGGGCAACGCTGTATCCTATACAGACAAAACAGGTGCAGGCAAACATCTGTGCCGTACTGCCTTTTCCGTGCAAGCCATGGTATGGCACCGCGACACTCAGGGCAAGGGACTTTTGCGACATCCGTGCGGTGATCCACCAACCCTGGCCACCTCCACAGCGCCGAGTTACAGGCCACGTACATAGCCACCACCGCCTGATCAATAGTGCGTTATATTAATACGGTGTCTCATTGTTACTGCGGTTAATGACAGCCGCATATAATAATAATTTACATTTATTTTTAAGGCGCCTTCCACTAATGTGTCAGTGCACCTTGTTAGAATAAGGTTAAGGAAAGGCCAATAGAGACGGTGAATGCAAATGGAATGCACTGACTTTAGAATATGTGGTTTCAGACGAGATGAGAACGAAATAACAGGCAGAAGAAAGAAACAGAGCAGGAGTGGAAGAAGCGCGTGAATTGTTTGAAGACGAAAAGACGATAAAGAGAAGGAAGGAGAAGGAGAAAGACAAAAACTCCAACCATAAAACCAACTAAGGCGGCCAGGCCTACGCGGTGCCATCACGCTTGCGAGATAAAGAGTGGGACACTGATTTTTGTTAGAAACATCGGCAGTCAGTCTCGAGTCTCCACGCGAGTCGACGGGTCTCCGTGTGAGTCGATACAATAGAACGTGAATGTACATTTCAAAATACCGGAGAAAAGCATTCGGCATATTTTGTTTTACAGAGACGGAACGAAAGAGGTCATCAGTCAGTCGCGGGCAGAGGAGAAGAGGAACGTCCGGAGCTTGGACTTAAACAGGGGCAGGTAGTCGGCATCATGGACAGCTGGGGATGTAAGCCTGGTGGAGGTGTGGGACCGGCTTTGAGCGGCTTACCACTTTGCGCTTGAGCTTCGGCTTGCCGGCTTCCCCGTACCCTCCGTGCGAGTCCGCCGCCACCCGGCACAGGCTGCTGTCCAGCGACGAGCTCTTACGCAGCCAGCCGCATCCATCCGGGTCGAGGCTGTCCCCGGCACTTCTTCCACCTCCTCCCCCACCCATGTCGGCGCCACCACTGCCGCAGCCGGCACCGCCTCCACCTCCGTCTTGGTGCCAGCAAGGCTCCCGCTGTGGTCGCCAGCCACCGCGTCCACCGTCACCACGGTGGGCGACGTCCCCACCAGATGCACAGCCCCGGAGTGGGCCCCCCGCCTGTGCGATCGCACCGGCTGGAAGAGAGCGTGCGTGCGAGTTGAGTACGCACCGTGTCACTCACAAAGCCGGACTTCAAAGTGGACTTCACCAGCCATAGGTGGCGCTTTGCCGGCCGGCCGTACATGCAGTACATATATAGCGATCATTATTTAACCAGGACATGCGATCCACATCCCATACCTGTCAACCCCTTATCAGTGCCCCCTACCTTATTACAGACCAATTCCTGACCTCATGGGTCACCCCGTGCCCTTATAAATATCAACGTTCATCCTACAAAGTCCCATCACAAGGGAGAAACACAAACAAATCTATATTTATTTTGCCCGTATTGAAACGGGTGTACGACGTATGGACCTGAACACTCAATGTCCCTGTACAAGAATACGGGTAAACCTTTATGGGTTGACACGGTATGAGATCCGTTCAGACACACGGTACATTGTTTGTGCCCCTTTTGCACGGGCGACCTAGGTTCGTCAAGTCGAGGAGTGCCACGGTGGCGAGATGTTAACTCCCTTGCCTGGTATGCGGGAGGTCGTGGGTTCGATCCCGACCCTGACGCCTGGAGTTTGCGTGTTCTCCCCGTGGTCGCGTGGATTTCTCTCTGCATTTAGAATCAACATCGCGCGTTTAGAATATTTGGCTGCTACAAGTTTTACACGTAAAAAGCCGCTTCGTTGAGCCATAGCGCGTGTGGCTAAAGAGCTGTACAGCTCAGTGAGGCATTGAATGGTTAAAAGTCCATGTAGTTTTAGTTGAATAGTTTCAGAGCGTGCAAGTCGCAAGCTGTGGTTGGCGCCTGCGGGTGAGGATGAGAAGAAGTTTGACGATGGGGAGACGCCGTTTACTCGGTGCCAGCATACGGCAGACACGCTCACTCGAATATTCCGCTCGTGCACACATTTCATCAGCATATATATTTGTCGGACAATGTATTCGCGCATTGAAATGTAGCACCGGTGCTGCCAAATGGCCCAATTATACACGTGCGAGTGACAATATGCCACCGCCGTTTGTGCACATGGTCCATAAAGATTAGTGTGGACGACTCTGTGCGGAGTAGATTAGTGGTCGTCTCATGTAAAGACTCACCCCCGTTATAGGAACGTGGAATCGTATGCGAATGAATGCACGTTGCGATGTTACAGATATTTAAAACGGTTTTCGCGAAATGGTTCAAAGTCTCAATGGAAAGACGCAAACGTTCTCAATTAGCTTGCGTGAATGTTGGAGGCCACATAAATGACAAACACGCAGTACGTGTAGCCACACTGACGTTAACAGTGCTCGATATCTATGGGACATTTTTGCCAGTATCAAATGATGGGAAAGAAAATGTATAGGCTTTGAAATGTTTTGATTGGCCTGGTGTAGGCCAATTAGTTTCAAAGGCAACGCATATGTTATCAGAGCATGTGTGTCTGCATGTTTTTCCGCAAGTATGTGTAGTTAATGCAGACTTGATGGCTTGTCATAGGAATCTATTTGGTGTTTGGGTATCTTAGCACCTCCTGTGTTCTATTTGTTTCACCAATGGATGCGTATCATTAATTTCGATTAACTCTGCAAACGGGTCAGGCGGTGACCATTTTAAACACCAGCACGAGAGCAAAGCCTCCCCGCCCTGGGCCTTTCATTATCAAAGCAAGTTTATCCACGCGACGAATTGCTTCATCTGCGACCAAAACCCCGTGACTGTGAAGGTGAACTCGCTGCGTGCATCGCATACCAAGGATAGAGAGAGAGAGAGACGCGACGTTCAACGTCGCGGAAACGTCGTTTTTTTGCCAGTTAAATGCCGACGAATTAAAAAAGAGGTCTGTATGTATGTATCAATGTGTGTTGAACTTCTATCGCACGGTACGTATGCAACCGTGATAATTTGAGGTGCGTGTGAAGGACAACGAGCTACACACAAAAAGCGGTTCTTAAGAAATGAGTATTTAATCTGGATTTAATAGTGGATAGCTTCAGTGGCTTCATAATATCTGTGGCACATTCATTCATGCGATTCCTGCCAATGTGCGTTTTCAATTCGGTCAGGTAGATCGATGAGACGGATGGCAGAGATGGCAGGGATTGGAGGGATAGGATGGATGAGTCTGATGGGATGGTTGGGATGGATGGAATATATGTGAGGGATGGAATGGATGGGCAAGACGAGAGAGATGGGACGGATGGGAGGAATGGATGGAAAGGAATGGAAGGGATGGGAGGGATGGAATTGATGGGTTGAATGAGATGGATGAGATGGATGGGATGGATGGGATCGGATGGATGGGAGGGATGAAATGCATGGGATGGATGGGATGGAGGAGGCCACTACCCCACGTACCATGGGAGGCGGGGCGGGGGGGGGGGTGAGAGGGGGGGGGTGTGCGGTCCACACCCTGGCACCGTTGGGAGGAGGAAGCGATTTCTATTCCGTGCGTACGTACCCCTCCGCCACACTCACGCTGGTTAAGTTTAACAGCCAGCGTATGTTCAGGTATATTTCAATGTTATAATGACCACATCAATCAGAAAATCCAAGATAGACATCATGCTGACTGTTATAAGCCAGTGGGCTTCAGTTTGCATTGCTCAATTGGGACATGCATAGCTATAGATCATCGCCGCACGCCGTAAAAAAAACTTGGCAGGATCCTGCTGAAGACGAATCATGAGACTCAGTGAGACTTCACTGGGTAAACAAACGTCCTCGTAGTAGTAATGATAATAAAATTAAAAGGTGGACTTGGGCAGGATACGTCACGAGAGGAGACGGTGGCCGAGACTCACGACGGAGTGGGAGTCAAAAGGAGTGAGCACGTGCCTGGGAGGACTGTGGAGATGGAGCGATGAAATCAGTTCATGCGCAGGAGCGAGATGGATTGTTGCGTCGCAAGACGGTGAGGGCTGGGCGGCCTTCATCCAGCAGTGGATAATAACAATCGTAGTTTCAGATAATGTCAGGCCGATAGTAAAATCCCAAGGAGATATGTATTTGGATTCGGAGGGGCTTGAAATTCCCAGTGGAACCGGACTCCCTGCCGGCCGTCGGCAGAGAGTTCCACGGTGCGGGTGCCCGAGTAGCAAAGTCCCCAAAGATCGCCCACCGTGGACTTGAGCGCCGTGGTGGCTAGGAGATGTTGACTCCCTGGCCTGATATGCAGGAGGTCAGGGGTTCGATCCCGACCCTGACGCCTGCTGCTGCTGTATATTTGGAGTTTGGATGTTCTCCTCGTGGTCGCGTGGAATTTTTTCCGAGTCCTCCCCCGGTTTTCCCCTCCACATTTAGAGTCAACATCACGCGTTTGGAGTATTTGGCTGCTATAAATTCACACACATGATACGTTACTTTGTTGAGCTGTCATTTGTGGTCAGGTCGCTTTTGAAAACGAGCTGTAAAGCATCAGTGGACCTTACGTGGTGAAATAAAAAAAAAGTTGAGTAATAGTTTGGATTATAGTTCTGGGTATGCTGAGGAGATACAAAGTCCACCGGACCTGAGAGTTCTTGTTGTTGGAACGTGGGGATGCGAGATCATGCAGGGCCATGGAAATGAGGAAAGAGGAGGAGGGAGGGAAAGGGGGGAGGAGGGGGAAGAAAGGGGGAGGAGGGGGAGGAGGAGGGAGGAGGGAGAGGGGAGGAGGACCTTGAATTCAGAAGGGAATGTAACCGGCAGTCAGTAGTGATGGGATGCCAGCAGAGGGTTCATTTGTTTTGAATGAGGAGTTCGGTTCTGAATGGAACGATCGTGGCTGTTAATGATGATGACGACGACAACGACGTTAGCGAGCTCGATAATTTTGTGTAAGGAAAGCAACGGGTTTACTGACTTCTGTGGACGTGACTGGTTTGTCCATCTGAGGACACCTCCCCTGTTTTAAGTGAACCCCCCTCCCCCCAGGAGTAGTCATGATGCAACGCAGCGCACAGACTGCCAGCGATTGCCGTTGCCCAGTGCTGTGGGCAAGGCTGTCAGCTGCCCCGTGGCTAAACGGGGCTCTCGAGGGTGATGATTGCATAGTCGCAGCCTAGTAAGAAAAAAACTGCACAAAACAAAGATCATATTTAAAATAAATATAAATAGTTGGAGATGCTGCTGCTGCTGCTGCGTTGAAAGTGTTACACAAGCAGCAGCAACAACAACAGCCATCGAACAAAGACGGTCACCGCATCGCGCGGCACTTTCAGATGCACTTCTGCGGCCGTCTGGAACGCTCTTCCTTCCGATATTAGGAAGCAACTGGGAGCTATGCACTTTGAAATAATTGAAAACTAATTTCTTTAGAGCTCCTTTTTGTGTTTAGTTTGTTGTCCTTCCGCCCACACCTCCGATTAGCACGGTTGGCTACGTACGGTGCGAAAGAAGTTCAACATACATGCAACAAACTCAACACACTAATCAATAGCGACACTGTGTGGCCCGAGAAGGAAAATCACAATATGCGACGTTTTGGGCAATTTCCCTTCTTCAAAGCGCGTTCATGATCGCCGTGTTAGAATGCCGTTTTTCTCACTTAACTTTGACGAAAAAAAGCCGACTCGTACAAGTTACAAAGTATTCGCTTTCACTTTTGTCGCCACGCGATGATGCGTCGACCTCGACGCAGCGCGTGCGGGAGAGCGAGCCCCCTGTTGTGTCGAGGTAGAGGCCACTTGGAGGAGTAGGAGGGGGATTTTAAAAATAATCTCCAGAGAGCGTGAAATATCCGTGGGAATCCCTTCAGCAGACATTCATGGAAAAGCCGGTTGCGCTGCCTGTGGGCGATTTTCCGAAAGCTCTTTTTGGGAGTGAAACAGTGAAGGCAAATAATAGAGAGGCACATGAAACAGTATGTTTTAAAGCACACTTAAGAACGGACGTTCTGCTCCGTATCATCAGTGCATACCAGTCCAAATGCTGCACGTGTGTTGTAAAATATGTGGGCGTAAGCGTGCTTACATAATCATGAGCCTCGCAGCGAGCATGCATCAATAACCCACAGCACCCATAAATACACAGCTCGTACTCTGCGTGGGTACT